ATGATGAATTAGCATATGGACAAGTCATGTTTTCATATCATTTTTTCTCACCTAAAAATCTTATTCTAATAAGTTTGTAAATATATTATTTAATAATTAAATAGGTAGAAACTGAATAAATTGTCAAACAATTCATTTTTAAAGAAAGGATACGAGTTGGGCAATACAATGTATTAATTGAGGTGATACAATGTACATTCCATCCACAATATCGCATGGTGTGTTATATTCAGTGATTTATCGGTGTTAAGTGAACATTTGGAACCAAAATGGCGTTTCAACAGAAGTACGCAATGTTGTGACGTTATAGAGAGCCCCCTTAATAGAAGAATCTTGTTTTTTTAACGTTACATAATGCCTATTTTCAGACGACCACGTGGAGATCTCTGCTATCCCCCTACGTTCCCTCTTGCCCTCTGACCTCAGTACATACTATCGGTATCTGGGCAGCCTGACCACCCCTCCTTGTTATGAGACCGTCATCTGGACACTGTTTAAGGAGACAATCAAAGTATCAAGGAGACAGGTGCGTGGGTTTACCTTCACAAAACTTAATTATCAGGGTCTGAAGGAGAAAGGTCTGAGAATTCATAGAAAACTCTTGTCGAATTTACAATTATCAGTGTCACTGCGGAATCAATGACAGGACTGTAATATATTGATAAATAGTCAGCTGTGGTTTTATAAAAAAGTAAATTTCAATATTCAACATATTAAGTACACTGTCTTGTACTTTAAAGATATACTTTTCATTTTAATTCAAAAAGCGTTTTCCATATCTGACAAATTGTTATTTTGTGCTGAACATGATAAAAACCTAAATATAGTTCCAAAATCCTAACTAGCAAAGGAATAATTTCTCTGAAATATTGCTGGAAAAAATCCATACCAACAGTTATTACATAATATGTCTTTAAAATTGCAGCTTGAAATTTTCCGCCATGAAGTGAAACAGAACTATCCCACGGAACCGGATAAAGATTTAATTGACGACTTCCGGCCTATTCAGCCCCTAAATCGTAGAATAGTCTACACTAGTAACATTAATGGAATAAGTCAGAAACCTCAGAGTTCTGATCCACAGAATTCTTCATCTGTGGCCAATTTCTCATTGATTAATTTTCTTACTATTTTACTTCTTATATTTTTCATTTGATATGTCGTTGTTTGTTTACAATTAAATTTCTAGATAATAGTCTCTCTTCGCAGAAGAAAACACAAAATTCTTTCTTTTTATACATGTGAAATGTTATCTTTGTGTTTTGACAAAATAACTTTGCATATTAAGACAAACATTTCTTCTCTTTATGTGGTAATATATAGATTACGTTAACATTATTGTATATCGAATCATTTTATCCTATAATTTTTTACATGTATGTCAAAGCAATCAATTATCATTATATTGCTTGACATTCATATGTCCAATTCAATCCTTCGTCCCAACTGTGATACCCATATATTTCTCTAGCTTTTTTTTAATTCTTGTTTTTATTTTCTTTTATTGAATCTTTGTCTTCCAGAAGAATTACATGTTTAATATTTTTTTTTACATGAGAGTAAATGAATCATAACTAGTAGATGAATCTGCTAAATTCAAGAAAGACTTTGTGCATTCAAGTGTTGATTTTAATTTCAATGAAATAAAATTATGACAATAAAAAAATATATAATTTTTTTCTTGATTCTATCTTAAAGCATATGGAGCTAAACATAAACTGTTTGCTTTTGAGGATATTAAAACCAAAGGCGTTTGTTAACTATTGTTCAGTTAGAAAGCAAACAGGTCCATTGAAACACTGCAAAAAGGGAGCAGAACAAACAAGAACCTGTAAGAATATCATAGGAAGGATCAGATGCATGAAGAAGTAAGCATCCGCTGCCAACTGGTTACTTCTACCGTGTGCTACTTGTCACGATCGGGAAAACCAAAAAATACCACATAGTCAATTCAGTGATTAAAAGACGGCCAAACATTTATAGTATGATAAACGTCAAATCAGTGATTAAAAGACGGCCAAACATTTATAGTATGATAAACGACAAATCAGTGCTCATCTTAATGGTAGACTTTATTTGGTGACAAGGTCATTTCATACACCATACAAGGGTAGACTTGCAAATTGATGCCTTCAAACGACATTGTAAATATTCTTTTATAACTTGTTTGTCAAAAGCTTACCTAGTGTTAGAAATGTTTTGCACGTTGCGAATGCTCTAGCGTAGCGGACCGATTAGGAAACATAAATCTTATACTCCCATTACGCAGATAATTAGGATGTTTTGCTAAATAAGTAAGAGAAGCAAGGGGTTACTGAAAGGATGAAGTAATCATGTTTATCTTATAATGTTTTATTACTTATACAACAATTAACAATTAACTTGACGCAAAGAAAATATATTCGATTGTACAGAAATATTTCTTTTGAAACAATTCAATCTTTTATTTTGGTTTTATAAATCAATAGGGTTTAAATTACATAAAAATTAATCATAATAACACATTTTAACAACAATTTCTTTTATTAAAAAAATGCAGCTTATGTTGCTTTAAATTTGTTTATAATTTGTTAAGCAATGAAAAATGACAAAAACATTTGATCTTTCAAAGTTCTGCAGTTCTTGTTGCATATCTTATGATCCTGTTATAATGAAGTTCTTAGAAGTCCCATTTATGTTTTTACAAGGAATATTTTGATGCAAAATTTTCGGTTTAAAAATTGACATGATACTGTAAACGAACAAGCAATAAAGCTCTTTCTGCAAGTTTCATGACCCTTTCTTATCCCCTTGCATTTGCGTTTGAAGGGATATAGTAACGTGCCTGTGTTGGTACAAAGGGACAAAGAAGGAATTTTTCAAGGAAATAATATAAATTATATAATCAATACAGCTCCACCCTAGCACTAGAACCCCTGACCCTGGGGACATTTTTCCTCGTAATACGAGGGACGTTCAATAAATAATGTCATCAGCTTGATGACATACAACATAGAAATCATATGCCATTAAGCTTGACTTTCTCTAATTATTGAATCTTTAATGAGTTGTTTACAGTTTATTTGACCACTTTTCATCACGTAGTTCAATTGTGAGAAGCTGGAAAACAAGGGCTATTCGAGACACTGCATTTAAAATGAATAGTCAAGAATCGGTAAACTAGAGTGAAATTAAACGCTTCATTAAAGCTTCTGTAAAACTTGTTAAGAATCCCAAAGATATATTAACTGATATATGCGAAATTTACAGCAACCAATGTCTGTTTTATACACACATAAGCAGGTGAATTTCAATGAACAAAAATGATATAATGGGTCTCAAAATTGGGCACTGTCCTTGGCGACAAGGACATACAAAATCCAATGTATATTTGCAAAAACTCAACAAATTATCACTGATTATGTCAGATTGACTTTTTGACAGATAGCAAATTTGATAGACATCATTTTGGGGGAGTTCAAATTGTTTTAAAGAATCGTTTAATAGTAAAAAAGTTAAATACTCAAAGGTCACCCAATATTTTGAAAAATGAGTGAAAATGACAGCATGTAGGAATATCTAAATAATCATTTTAAAAGATAAAAAAATGTACTTATTCATGTTTGTCTGAAATTCAAACAGGTCATGAAACTTGAATCCATTTTCCTCCAAAACCCTCAAAACAAATTTGGAATGAGATGCACTTGACAAAACAGCAAAGGCCTGAAAAGAGTAAAGAATTGCAAGAGCACAAAAACAGTTTTATATACTATTTTCTTAAATATTAGTGGTGTTGTTGTTCAAATTCTTATTGGGGGAGTAATTTCAATTTCTGGAAGAGTCTAGAAAGCAAATATTTTGAAAAAAAAGTGAAAGGTTTATGAGATGAAGGAGCCGGAATGAGGGATTCATTACACTTAATTTCTTCATGACAGAGTCCATACCCATAGATCATGAAGAGAAAAGGAGTTCTCTGGGTAAAAAGAAAGTTAATGTTTTGTCACACCAATTATATTGGCCAGAACTTTCAACCTTTGACTTGTTTCATTTTCCAAACTTGAAAAAAAGAAAAACATCTTTCAGAAAGAAGAAACAAGTACAGGAAAAAATCATAGGATCTGCCATATTCCAGTATACAAAGGGTCATACTCAAAATGTGTTCTCAAACCAATTAAAAATTGAATAAAAATATAACGGATATTTTCTTTTAATTTAAAGAGAATATTTTAGTTTTATCATTAAGACTAAATCATAGAAAAACGTTTTCTTGTTTCTTTGCGAGCAACGATGACATAATTTATTGAACGTCCTTCGTAACTATGTATGTAGTTAGTTTATTGAATACCCAGAAGCAGAGAAGAAGATTTTCAAAGATTTAATGCTTGTTCATTATATAATCAATAGAGCCCCTCTTAAAACCAGAACACCAGACCCTAGAGCCATGAAATTCACAATTTTCGAAGATTGAATCCTTCCTGATCAAAATTATAAATTAAGTTTGTTTGTTTATGTCCAGCTTTGCAGGAGCAGAGAAGAAGATCCCCCCCCCAAAAAAATGCATTTTCATTAAATTCTATAAAGTAACCCCCCTACTAGAACTCCTGACCCTTGGACCATGAATTTCACAATTTTGGTAGAGGGCTCAATGCTTATTACAATTAAACCATCAATTTGACTGCTTGATGTCCAGGAGAAATGAAGATTTTTAAAGATTGCATTACTTTCAGTGGTTTTGGTCCAACTCCCTAGGCCCCAGGGGGACAGGGACTATGAAATTCACAATTTTTGATTCCCTTTAGCCATAGATGCTGTATGCCAAAATTGGTTGAAATTGGTTGAGCGGTTGCAAAGAAGAAGCTAAAAATGTTCAAATGTTAACGCAAGACGACGGACGCAGACAGATAGCAATAGGTCACCTGAGTTTACTCAGGCGACCTAAAAAGATCTCAATTTTGATAAAATAAGGTTTCAGATACTCTTGTTAATGTAATTTATTTGAGCAAAAAATAAGAACAATTCAATTTCGCAAAATATTTTAATATTTCTTGCCCTTAATTTTGATGACAATAACACCGAAACAATCTGCAGTCAGGTGTTTGGTTACTGTTGCAGACTTTAACGCAGTTTCCATCAAACAGGCATACTAAATTAAGAATATGCATTTAAACTTGTGCATTTTTTTTTAAATATATCTCTTTAAGTACCCTTATCCTTTCCGTTTGTTTTAAACGATAGATGATAATTTAAATTTTCTCTTAAAAAGAAGTCTATAAACACATATATTCAATACTCATGGTTTTGAAGTAATCGGTATAGATTTTTAGACATACTCAATAATAGCATGTTGGAACCAACATTACATGCAATAGCATTCAAGTTTTGTGCAAAATACTCACGGGTCCCCACTCTGCAGGTGCACCGTTTATATGAGCAAGCTCTAACCTGGCCACTTGGGCAGTTTATTTTTCCATAACATTGGCCATCATAGTCACAACAAGAGGCTGCAACGAGAACAATTTTGATATGATAAATTAAAGCAAGGTTATTATTTTCAAGACCGCTAGCAAATAGCGCCCATCCCAACGTTAGTTAGTACTATGAATAATTCTAACGCATTATTGACCAAACAATTTGCACACTACTTTATAACCTCCAGCTTGCTGAAAAGTTATAAAAGTACAAAATGATACATCTAAAGTCAATTTCAAGAGCTTATGAGGGTAAATAATACGGTTCTATGAAATCAGGAAATAATGTTTCATTCATTTCTTCATTTATGTTGATATACGTTTGCATGAATAAATTTTGATAAAATTGAGAATTTTTCATGCAGTTCAGAAAGTCAAATACTTTTCAACTAAAAAAAAAACTTTATCCATCTCGGGACAAAATCCCAATCAACAATACCAGTTTTAATTTTCATTTAAACATACCTCTAAAATCACTGTAATTTTTCTTTTTAATACAAATAAAACATTTTGAAAATGTAATTTCTAGAATAAAACATTATCAGTATTAAGATCAATTATTAAAAAATGTTGTAGAGACACAAAAGATAATCAAACTTACCTGCTAGAAGTAGTGAAAAAAAGACTATGTATTTCACAAGGACATTCATGGTTCAACCTACATTCGTCTCTGTTCCACTCTGTTTTTTTTTTTTTCTGTCGTTTTTATATATAATATGTATACACACTTGTGTATAAATTTGCTGATACAGCTACATGCTATTATTTGTTCTACTCCTACGTTTATGATAAATTTTAACAGATCTATTACCATTTAAATTCTTGATTGCACAGATATCCAAGATCTTACAAACACATGTTACATTGTTATTATTTGTTGTCTATAATTCAAGTGACGTTGACTTACGCGTTCAGTTACTAAATATACCACACGAGTATGTGTATTTGATTTACCGAGGTATCACTGCACATGACATAACGCCTGCTTGATGTCCACTTCATCAAAGTATTTTATGAAACATATGGAGATAACGAATAGTATTCAAAATCAAAAGTTCATATATAATGAAATATGTGGAGATAACGGACAGTATATATAAGATCAAAAGTCCTTTAAACAATTCCAAATTTTAAGCAGAGCAAACACAAACCTTTAAAACGTCAGAGGTGGGATCAGATACAATGGAGTGACCGGTCTCACTCGCCGTGTGATCCTTGATCGGGAAACAGTGGGAAAATGAGACGACAATTCAGTGGCCTAACAATCAGTATGAAAAACGTCAGTCAGTCAGCAATAAAGTTCTCCAAAATAATAAATTGCATTTGCTGACAAGGTCATTGTATCGACCATAGAAGTTACGAAATGGTGAGTTTAAACGAGACTCCTGAAATTTTTGTTTCATCAACTTGCTTGTCATTAAGATATAAACTCCCTACGCAGGCGGTGAAGTAAGGAAAGGAAGTTGATGATTGAAAAGTTGAAGTCATCACGTTTATCAAAAAGCTTGGTTGTTAGATTACCATTATTGTCATTTCCAAATAAAATGAATCAAGATTTCAATAAACAAATGACATAAAAAACGAAATTATGTGTGAATTTTGGGAAAAGACCAATTTAAGACAAGTGTTTTCTTTTTATATCAGACTTTGTCAACATTTCATTTTTAGTAAACACAAATTTCCGCTGGCAAGGTGCATAAAGTTACGGACCTCTGCTTCCGAAAGTTTTATGGTCGATACAATGACCTTGTCAGCAAATACAATAATTCTATAGAAATGCTAACTTTTTTCATATCATAAAGATTGTTAATCTATTTTTTACACAATGAATTGTCGTGGATTTTTTCCCGTTTTTTTCCCATTATAACAAAGATTACACGGCGGGTGTTACCGGTCGGCAGGGGATGCTAACTCCTCCATGTTTGAGAGCTGCGTTTGTGTTCCGTTTCTATTTTGTGATGTTTAATGGATTGTTGAGCTCTACATCTGTTCGATACATATATATATATATCATTTAATCTATTGTATGTGTACTTTAAAAAGCGAGCTTCGTATTTTAGCGGCTTTTGCGTAGACAACAATGCTCTGATTCATGAATACCGCTAAGAAATCATTAACATATACAATAAACTTGACGGAGATGTGTAGCGCTGATTTATGTTTACGCCAACAATTCCTTACCCAGTGATTGCGCTAAATTTTGAGTTCGTTAAATTATTTTCAGGGACAATATTTGATTGTTGAAAAAAAGCTCACTACATTTCATTACAGATATTCATTAAAAATTTATGAAATGTGTCTTCTCACTTGGAAAAATATACGTGCAATTTTAAAATAAGTTGTTTATCAAATTTGACTGTAACCCAGAAAAAATTGACAGCTTAACATATCAAATTCTATTTACAATTTATTTGAACTTTTTTTTATTTCTTCAATTACAAAAGTAAGTTTGGAAGCGGAATGATATTAACACTAAAATAACTTAAATTTTTCAGTCTACAATAAATCTACCTCTTGATACTGAGTAAAATCTAACTAGACAGATGTAATAAATGAATAAAACAAATAAAACGATACTTGAATAAAATCAGTAAATTAATTATCATAACATTTTTCTATGCAAATATTAAACCTAATATTGTAAGATAGTATAGGGCTTTTAATCAAGAGAGAAAAAAAAAATGTATGGCATTTGCCTGACCATATTTAATATAGTTCTCCAGTGTTCAATCACACTTAAATTTGCTTAAAAGCACGAAATGATTCTAACGAAGTTTTTGAGATTAAAGGTATTTTTGAAAAAAAAAATCAAATGGAAAACATCAAAAGCAAGATTTTCATAATATTTTTATTTTAATACTTTCTGTAAATGATAAGACACGAAAGTATATATTAGTTTAAGCACTTGATCTGCCAATTTCCAAACTTAATCGGTACTTTAATCCTGATAAAACTAAAGGCCTGAATTATTTGTAGTGCAGTTTATCTCAAAGAAATTTATGAGAAATTGTTATATTCGATATATCAAAGATGGAAATTTCCTGTATTATTTGCACAGGCTTCTACAGACAGACGGGGTTGACCTCATGTGAGATAACCGTTAAAAATAAATATATTTGATTGACCGAGAAATTAAAAATGCTTCATTTATTAATTCCTTCTCTTGCAAAATTAAATGCTTGTGGGTCGGAAGATAACTCATCTCCAAAATTAACGAAAAAAAACTGTCGTCAATTCAGTGTATAAATAATGGACTAACAATTAGTATGAAAAACGTCGGTCAGCATTTGACTCAATGATCAATTGTATTTGATGACAAGGTCATTGTATCGACCAAAGAAGTTAGTACGAAATGATGACTTTGAACGAAACTGCTGTGATTCTTATTTCATCAACTTCTTTATCAATAATTTACTTCGTTTAAGAAATTGTTCATACGTAGGACATGCTCTTGCGTATCGAATCAACTGAGATATATAAATCCGTATACAGGTGGTGAAGCTATATTGCTGCACAAATAAGGGAAGCTGACGATAGAAAAGCTAAAGTCTGCACAATTATCACACAGCTTGGTTGCTAGGTTACCATTAATGTCTTTTTCAAGTAAAATATCAAAGTATGAAGCAGAGGTGCCAGATTCTGTGGTATCTTTTATCTCAAGCTCAGTCGGATATATCGTATCGAGATAGGAATGGAAATTACCATTGTTAATTGACAATACGTCGTCGATATATCTAAATGTCGAGTTGAATGCCACGGCAAGTGTTTTCTTATTTTCACGCATAAGATTTAGAGCAAAGTTTGCTTCATATGAATTTAAAAATAGGTATGCCAATAACGGAGCGCAATTGGTACCTTAGTATTCTCTATATAGACAAAACTATTGGGAAGGGGCTTAAGGATGAACCATTTTTTAACAATATTTACCTTGTGTAAAATGCCTAATGTTTTTTTTAGATATAGCATGTTAACAAAAAGTGCTAAGAACATTGAAACAGAGACCACTACTTTCAGTTTTCTAGTTTAAAAAGGACGATCCAAAAAGCAAGGTATTATGTGAATCTGTGTCAAAACAGCACAAACATATTTTTATAAACGTACATGTAACAACAGAACTTTCGTAGTCCTTTCACACCAACATAAAAAAATTCACACAATTTTATTTATAGACGTCGTAGAAACTCTCGATCCTGCTTCGTAAAGCATTGTTTTTTACACCCATGGGGGGGGGGTTAAGAAAACAAAGAGTGGAAGATCTATAAAAATATAACAAAGTAAACATTGAAATCTTAAATTAGGGCTTAAAACATAGGCCCTGAATAATTCATAGAAGCAACAGTAACGTCATTTAAAATACCATATAAGAAGGATATGGAGATAACGAACATTATTCAAACTCAAAAAACAATACAAAACCGAAACTTCAGAGGTGGGATCAGGTGCCATGGGGGAGAAAGCATCCCCTGCTGATCGGTCACACCCGCCTATAGCCCCTTGTCATGATCTTGGAGTAACGGGAAAATCCGTCTTCAATTTAGTGTATATACTAAATAATGGACTGACGATTAGTATGAAAAACGACAGTCAGCATTTGACTCAATGATAAATTGTAGTCGCTGACAAGGTCATTGTATCGACCATAAAACGTAGCAATGTGGGTCCTTTACTCCATTTATTGTCCAAATCTGGAAAGCGCTAGGAGTTTTCTAACTTACCTTTGCTGCAGTTGATTTTCACCCTTTCTGCTTTATTTACGGAATGCTGACATTAAACCAGATTGTTGTTATCCTTGTAACATCAACTTATCTGTCAGTAAAATGCCTCCATGATATGCTGGAAGTACTCGATGCATGGTCGTGAGTATCGAATATGTAGTGACGTGAACACCATTTTCATATAATAGTAGAAAATAACTGCAGAGGAAGGAAAGTTGACTATGGCAAAAAATGAAATAATCTCCTTATGCAATGGAAAAAATTAATAATTTGTTCTGAGTGAAAAAATGCTTAAATCGCAAAGCATGGTCAGTGTCATTAATTCTGTTAATTTGAATGAAATATGTGGACATAGAGAACAGTATCCAAACTCTACAGTCCATTAAACACTGTAAAACAGCAAAATCTTTAACAGAATATTTGAAAAACAAATATCCCCGAAAACACATACATAAGACGTAGAAGTTTTGAGTAATACTTCCCTGTCAATCGGTCACATCCAACAGTAGTCTAATATACAATTAAGAAATAAAGTCAGCGTTTTCGTGAATGTTGCAGGATAACCTCCGAGGTCGAGAAATGTTGTTTGAAAGATAAAAGCCGAGGCGTTAGCCGAGGCTTTTATATTTCAACCAACATTTCGAGACCGAGGAGGTTATCCTGCAACATCCACGACAACAAGGACTTTATTTCTATTCTATAAAGATCATGAAGATCGCTTAAATACGCCTGGTCGTTTCCTATAAAGAGAAACGAAATAGGTCACCATGTCTCGATTACGCTGTTCCATTTAACAACAGAGGCAAAATTGTTTGCTTACATGTGTATAGAATGCAGACAATTTGAGAGCTTTCGTTGCATTAAAAGATAGCCGTTTTAAATTTTAAATTTGTTTGTTTTATGTATTGATTAATTTTAATGAAAATACAATAACAAAATCTTGTTCCTGTTTAACTGCTTTATTGGTGTTTAAATGTGTAGGGAGGTCCGTGGAATAGCCCCGCTTGGCTATAAAAACCGACATTCATCAGCAACTTGATGCAATTTACATTGTTCAGATTGCAATAGACGACACATCGATGTGGTCTAAACAAGTATTTCATTTTAGAGTCAAATATTTATTTCAACTGTACAGGTTTGATACATGTTTCTGATCTGATAATTTTTTGATGACGTTCGTGATTTATTGGAGAATAATGTCCGCGGCATTTCTTTGATGTTTTCAATAATCGTGGTAGAATGGAAAATAAAAGTACAAACCAGGGAGCATTTTGGATAAATTAGTTGCGAAGGAATTAAAATAATTAGTAACTTTACATACAGTGACCTTGTCAGCAAATACATTTTATCATTGAGTCAAATGCTGACTGACGTTTTTCATACTAATTGTTAGTCCATTATTTATACCTGAATTGAGGACATACTTTTCCGTTATTTCCCAATCATGACAATGAGCACATAGCGGGAGTGACAGGTCAGCAGGGGATACTCATTCCTCCATGGCACCTGATCCCACCTCTGATGTTTTGAGGTCCGTGTTTGCTCTAGTCCTATTTGGTATTGTTTTATGGACTTTGATATTGTATACTGATCGTTATCTCCATATTCTTCTTGTAAATATCTTATGATTAAGAAAGAATTCGGAAACTCCGCCTGAAAATATTATTGCTCCTATTTAAACATTAAACGTTTAGAATTGGATTTTGAAAAAGATAATTTATTATGACAATTTACCAATTGTTCTTATTCTTAGATATTTTAAAACACAAATATAAAAAACCCAGTACATTAATAGATGTAGGTTGTGTGATGTTTATAGAACACTTCGATAAAGAGTACTTCGTCACAAGGTATGTCTCAAATAACACTTTGAATGGGGCTTGATATTTTATAAAATATAAATATAAACTCTCAATCATAATAATCACAAACAAAACTCGTTGCGTCACAAACAAAACTCGTTGCGTCACAAACAAAACTCGTTGCGAATTTGGTTGAAATTGGTTCACTCTTTTTGATGACGCTGATATTGTCCTAGAGAGCTAAAAGGGGATATAAATGTAATGTACATACGATGTATCTTGTAAACCTACTGGTTTTCATATTCAAAATTCTTAAATAGCTGCGTTGTGCATATTGCATTCTAAAAACAAATTTAGGACTTGAAAAAACGAACAAATCTGTGTCTACAACCTTAAAAGATAAAACATTCAGTGCAACTTTGATCTTCAGTGATAACGGTCTCGTGAATATTGCAAAGCCTGCCGCGAGGAAATCTTTGTGGCCGAAAAAAATATTTATTTCCCATGGCAAAGGTGAATTTTATTTCCATTGTCTGATAAAATCGAGGAAAAAAAACCTACAACCTCTCACAGATTATACAGGTATATGGCGCAATTAATCTGACTAATTTCTTTCTTGGAAGTCATATATAGTGCTCTAGCAGATGAAAAAAGTCAATAGAAAATCTCATTAATACCAAAAACTGTGAATATCTGTTGTAGATTTACACTGAGCGACAGTTAACTGTACAAAAGGTTTTGAATTGAAGTACTTGACGAGACATCATGCACCGATTGTTATCTTTTTATCTGCTCGTTTTCGCTTCCTGGATAAATAACTCAGAATCGGGAAGTGGTAAGTCCAGTTTCACTTTATACATTGCTTGATGGGATATTCCCGTTATACCATCTTTGATGTTTTGTAGAGGCACTTTCACGTATTTTGGATTGAAGATAGTTGTATGCTTAAATCAATGAGGACATTTATATATATTATGTGATAGAAGAAATTATATACATTGTCCAAGCATAAAAACAAACATGTGTGTATAGGTACATGTTATAAGTGCGTAATGTTAAAAGTAATGTTAGTCATTCATTACACTTCGGTCATGAAATACTGGTATGGAGATTGCGAACAGTAATCAAACTTTAAAAAAATCCATTGAAAAAAATATAAAATGGGAGCAGGGGAAACAATGACCTCTACAAGCGTCAGAGGTGAACTCAGGTGCCATGGAGAAATAAGCATCACCTATTGACCGGTCACGCCTCAGTGTGCTTCTTGTCACGCTCGGGTAAAGTCGTTCATAATTCAGTATGCAGATGATGGCCTAACAATATGTCTGATTGTGTTTGTTTGTTCCCCGTCCCTTTCGTGAATGCAACCACTTGTCTGTGGAGAGCTGCAAATTTAAACCAATACTTGGCACCCAGGGCCATTGAACAGTGAGAAATTATTCCCGCACATACTGGAATCTCGGTTTATACAGTCTCATCCAATTAAAAACCGGTCTCCCAATCCCTTGTTTAGCTTCATTCCAGCGACGTAAAGTCTACTACTCCAGAACAAAGTTCTACCCACTGAGCAACGCGGAAGAAAAAAGTTTGCATTCAATTTAAAGGTGGATTATGTTAGCAGACAAAGTCATTATTTCGATCGTAGAGTTGCAAAATGAGTACTTGAAGCAGTCAAGCACCCTGTTCAATAAACTATTGTTAATTTCTTTAGTGTGTTAACAAATACAATTCATTATTAAGTCAAAATGCTAACTGACATATTTCATGCCAATTATTAGACCAATATTTACCATTTGAATTGTGTACAGATTTTTCCGTTTACTATTTTCCGGATAAAACCAGTAGCACTCGGCGGTTGCAACCTGTTTACATTGGATGCTCACTTCTTCGTGGCACCTGATCCTAACCCTGATGTTTTATAGACTTTCGTGTTTGCTCTCCTTCTGTTTTGAACTTGGATTTTATTTCACAGAAAATGAATATTTTCTCAGATATACAAATTTAATCCAAATCCTTTACCAATCCTTTAGTGGAAGGATTTAGCCATTTTCAAACAGAAAAGGAATTTAATTTGAAAAAAAAATATATAGAAACAGGGCATTACAAACATTACTTAAAAGTCATTTAAATATTTTAAGTAAACTAAATTAAGCTGCAATATTTCTTTTTAAATTGCAAATGTTTTTACAATGTTTTCATACATCCACATGAACTAGTAGTTTCCAGGCAGGTATTCAGTTACTGTTATTAATATCGGTATAAATGTGTCATACATTCGTACATCATGCTTAAATCGGAAAAGCCTGGGTAATATCTACTCAAAGATTGAAACGATTGAAGAATTCGTCGGGAAGTTTTGATTTGTATACCCGAATCTAACGTAATGGGCATTGTGCTGCATTTATAAAAATTTGGAAGGGATGCGAAAAAGATAGTAATAATGAAATAGAGTAAGAACATGTTACAAAAGAAAATTCAATATTTCATTTCCACCTATGGTGATATGAATTCAAAAATAAATTTACCCCCTTCTAAATTAATTTCAGAGACGTCAATTATGTTTATCGAAGCTGCGTTTTATACCCTGGACGGGAACACTGCATTAACGAATAACCCCTTTCAAGCATAAAATTCTCATAACAGCAAAAAACTTGTCAGACACGCATTCTGCTAATTTCACGCGTTATGCAGTAGACAGATAGATAGGATTTATCAGTTAATGCTAAAACCTAGCAAAATTGTACACATTCAGGTTATCATTTTGTGCTTAGATATAAAATATAAACCGACCTGTCTGAAATTATGGAATGACCAGTTAATTAAATGTCTAATGGAACTTTTTCTTCTGCTTATGATTCGTAATGTCGATACACTGTACTTATTCTTCTTTGATTCATGATCTTTTATTTTACTTCGATAAAAGATAAACGATTCACGAATATTTAACCACTGATGACCTTGAATGTTACACTAGAATCAGCAACAAAGTGTGTGATTGTCAAGCTTTACTGCATTATCATTAAATAAATGTTAAAAAAGAAGCACCTGATAAAACGTCACTTCAGGTGAAATATTTATCTAATCCTATCTCTGTACACGTGGTAATGTAACACAGCGTCCTGTTCATAACTATCAATCATAAACTTTTTAATTATTTTGGCATGAAAAAGTTTGCACTACTATTTTCGTTTTTATTTACTTATTAAATCATATTTATTATTTCTGACCTGTTGTATTGAGATTTAGATAAACATATAAAAGTGCAGAGCCTTCCAGACAAGGAGAAGTCAGCAGGTATTATCTGTACTAAAAAGGGACTTTTACATCAATCCATTGTTTTTTAGAGTGAAAGTATTTCCAGATTTCATTACCTGATTTTTTTTTTTTTTTGGGGGGGGGGGGGGGGGTTCTGATTGGAAATATCCGAATATTGATCTTTTTTATTTTTCGATTGACACAATATTTTTCCCCACCTTCTGCATCATTCTTAAATTGTAAAATTTGTAATCTCATTTGGCATTTGTAATAATTGCTCTATACACACACACACCCTCTTTATTATCTAACATGCTGCAGAACAGAGCTGCAAATGTGCTTCAGGTTCATATGAACCGAATTGTTCATCAGTTTCAGTATTTTAGAGCACTAAAAAGTGACTTTTACATCAATCCATTCTTTGTTAGAGTTAACGTTCTTCCAGATTTCATTAACTGATTATTATTTTTTTTTTATATTGGAATTATCAGAATATTGATCTTTTTTTATTTTTCAATTGCAATTGACACAATATTTTTTTTTTATTTATAAGATATCAATAGTTAAGTTTTATGAACTAGATATGTATTACTATTACTTGATTTTTATTCCTATATACAAATTATTAAAACAAGTAGAATTTTATCAAAGGTACATTTCTTAATATCATGAGTTAGTAAATAAGTATTTTCATAAGTAAATTTCTTTCATTTAAAACACTGAGTTAATTTGAATTTTCATTCATCTTCATATTTCCTATTGATATGTCTGATGCTAGGCCTCATATAAGATATCTTTTATTGACTTTTCGGCATGTTCAGTCCTCGAATTTATTTAATCATGCAATTCCTCCCCTACATCCAAGGAAATGGTATTTATTTAGATGATTAGACATAAAAGGGGCACACTTATTGAGCGCCAATAACCAATATAATGTGTCTTCTATGCAACCCCACACTGACATAATCCTATTTTATTATTCTAATAAACAAAATCGTATTTATGGTCCCATCCAAATCAATTTCTGCTGAAAATCTGTACAAAATACTGGCGCAGAGACAAATTTAATCTTTTGTGAAATTTACCTGCTGGGAATACTAACCATGCTGGCAGGAGGATGTCAAATGTTAATCTGGACAAATATTTTCATTTTAATATCTCCTGTATACGCGGGAGGAGGTTTGTAATTATTACATAGAATTAAATTTCGAAAATTTTAATTTATTTTTCTTAGGATTTGTTATTTATTTTTTTTAATCACGATTGTGGGGACGTTTTTTAAATACACATCTCTGTTAGTTCTATTAAAAATTAATTTGTGATATTTTGAAATTGATGTAAACTTATAACACCTAATGAAAATTCCGCAACGGCTATGTTTTACATTTTAGGTCATGAATTAATATAAACTTAAACATAACTCATTCTTCAGCACTCATTATAGCTAATGACAATTTTCTGTCCTCTAGCATTTATCATTTCATTGATATATTTAATTTCATTATGAACCATTTGAATGTCAAATTTCAAGAGAAAAATCATATATTTTTAATCATTTGGCTTTATTCGTGAACAATTTTCAAGTCGGGTTACCTATTTAAAAGACAACAAAATACCACAAAATTATAAAAATCATGACAAATTCTCTGACAGCCCAGATACCTATTGTTTTTTAACCTAAAATATGTTTGTTGATTAATTTGCAATTAGAAAATGCATCACCGATACTAAAATTCGCTTTTTCTGCAAAAATATTGGAAATTTGACAATTTTCCCCCTATCATATGATAAACTTTAATCTTGAACTTTTAACATAAGTTAACTTTGTGGATTCAGAGATACTTTTATGAGTATTTTTGTTTACTTAACTACTAATTTTGTAAACCTGAGGATCGGACGACATTAACTTGTCTGGGGATGTTTTGTTTTCGTTACATATCGTACATGCGGTAGATTTAATGAACTATATGGAGATAACGAACATAATTCAAGATTAAAAGTCCATTATACAATGCATGTTTATATTTTGTAACAGAGCTAATTCGGACCTCTAAAACATCAGAAACGGTTATCAAGTTCCATGAACATCCCTGTCGACCGGTCACACTCACCGTGTGCATCATGTTATAAACGGAAAATAACGAAAATATATCCGTCGTCAATTCAGTGTATAAATTTATGTTCCTTAGTTCTCCTGCCAAACGACTGAGCTTGTTTTTTGATAAACAGGCAAAAACAAATTAGATCATGCTGAAGTGAAATATGTCATTTATTAAAGTAAATGACGGAAAAGTAAAACACAGTTTACAAAATGGGGGTCAGAAAAAGGAGGACTCAAATATAGAGTATTACACATCTTAGTCAAAATATTACACAATCTGACCCCCAGCACCATAATGACATTGTAACATGATGTACATAGGCAAAAGGGGGGTCAATCAGACTAGAATAACAATTCAAACCCTGTAATCTTTCACAAGGTACAATATACATGCATTTTCATGTTGACCCCCTTATAAACATCATAAGTTTGGAAGACATATATACAAAATGCTCTAAACTGCTGCCTGCCATAAAAAAGGTGGGAAAACAAAATAACGAACAGCCTTCGAAAAATTCAGCAGTTCAATAAACCATGCTTTCTCTTTTGGTAAACGGATCAATAATGATCACGTGATGGATAAGAGCTTTGCTGATTGGTTGAACCCATATTTAGATGTAGGAAAATGGGTAAAATTAGTTCAATAAAAGAACCGAATAGCTGCTTAGTATAAAGCTATGTACAATACAGACACTGTTATATAATAAAATAATAAAACAAGAACATGTCACATAAATGAAATTATTTGCAATAATTACTAGTAATCTAATAATAATAAGTATGAAAAACGTCAGTCAGTATTTGACTCAAGGATAAATTGTATTTGCTGACAAGGTCATTGTATCGACCATAGAACTTACGAAATGATCACTTTAAACGAGACTGCTGATATTCTTGTTTCAATAATTACATGTAACCTCGTTTTTGGAAAATTGTTCATACGCTGAGCATGCTCCTGAATCAACTGAGAGCTATATAAACCCGTATCTATAAAAACTTTCATCATCTGCATACGGAGTTTATATATCTTATACCCCATTCATACGACAAAAATTTGCTTATGTGTGCAAATTTACATAAAAATAAATCTTCACACGGAAGTAAAGGTTAAATTGCTATGCGTTCAGACGAGATTTATGTACTGTTAGTTTATCCTAAATTTTCATACAAAAGAAGGATATGAAAAGATGCAGAAGTATGATTTTTTATAGAAAAAGGGGTATTTTCTTACTCTTTGTGTGTGGCAGATACATATTTTATCAATTTTCTACGCATACATGTATTTATTATACATGTATGGTAATTATGATTTATTATATTTAATTTGATTTGAGATGCACATGTTGAATAATATAATTATTCAGTTTAAAGTCCTTTAGTGTGCATTCACCCATGTCTGTCAAAGGTGTATATAGGTAGAAATGGCCTTAGGTCATTAATTATATCCAGGCCTAATGTTGGATGTTTCTTTTAATTTCATTGGTGTTTTATTTTGTGTTTTACTTGGGGATTGGTTCACGTTTTTCCCTCCAGAAGGTTCTTGGTTTTCTGGACATTCTTTGTCCAGAATTTGGTCAGTGATGATGTATTTATGTTGATCTGACATTTTGACAATCAGACCTTTTCATAGAGACTGACTTTATTCTCCTTCTGGTAAGTTAACAATTTATTACTAATATTAATTTGATTCTTATATTTCAATTAAATGTCCAATCAGTAATTTTGCATTCTTGATCTATTTCCTAAGCACTTTCCCTGAGTAAATGAAATCAGTGAGAATGATATTTTTTAAGCATGATGTAATAGAAAGATCTCATTGTTATATATTTTTATGATTTGGTGTGTAATATTGTGTAATTATTTACAGATCACTCAGGCTGTATGATTTGTATATGCAGCATTGCTGCGCATGCTGTACACACCTATTCCCATAGAATGGTATGCACATAGTTTTATGCTTATTCAGTAATATATAATGTTGAAATACATTATGATGATTGTTATGATAATTATTGTAAAGTTTTATGATGAATATTGATTGTGCTATAATTGCGGAGAAATATATGTATATTCTATGTGTAATGAATTATCTCCCTTGACAATCATTGTGTTTTTATGCTTAAATATTTACACTTGTTATATTGTTAATATTGCAGGGTTATTTTCATCATTTCCATTACATCTGGTAAATAAAGTCTTGTCAGAACCCTCAACAGGCAGTTATTCTTTCTTCATTTGATAACCCCCAAGCCTGTTACATGTGTATAAGACTAAATTTTCATTAAAGAAACTAGGGGGGAAATCCGATCCACGTATTTATTGGTACAACCCCCCCCCCCCCTCCAAAATTAATGACTTTAAGCACGAAGAATTGGGTAAAATTCTAATGTTGAAAAAATGTTTTGACCTCGGTCTAAGAGACTGTAGAAGAGCCGTTGGGTGTAAAGAAAAAGGTGACTGTTGCCATCTACTGGATAACGTCTTCAGCAGAAATATAGGACGATTAGAATCTTTTGGTGTTGGGAAATCTACAATACATCGAGTGTGTGAGGCCTTTACGCACCAATGCATACACAACCGAAACAACACTTAAAATGGAGATTTATGCAAAAAAAAAAACCAAAACAAAATATATACATATGTAAATTTGCTGCGTGTTCATACGAGAAATTTTTCACACATGAACTAATAAATTGCTACAAGGTGTATGCAAAAGTTATTTTGCACCAAGTCCTGACCAGGTGTAAATTTACTCAACTGTGCAGAATTTGCATTTGAGTAAATCAGTTCATACAACAAAAATTGCCCATGTGAGTAAATTTACTTTTGTGTAAAATATACTGAGGTATGCAAATCATGTCGTATGTATTTGGAAGTTGATTTGATCCGCAAGAGCATGCTCGTCGTATGAACAATTTGTTAATTGACGACGGATTTTTGTGTTATTTTCCGATCATGACGAGGAGCAAACGGCGAGTGTGAACGGTTCGCAGGGGGGTGCTCACTCCTCCATGGAACCTGATCCCACCTCTGATGTTTTGGGGTCCGTGTTTGCTCTGGTCCTGTTTTGTATTGTTTAATGGACTTTGATATCGAATACTGTTCGTTATCTCCATATCCTTCATGCAGATGATGAAGATATATTGCTGCAGAATTAATTCTGTAAGGGATTGAAAAGTTAGACTTATCATGTTATCATAAATTTTGGTTGTAAGATAACCATAAACGTCTTTAATTTGTGAAATTTTCAAATATGAAACAGATGTGTCAGCTTTTATTTCAAGTTTCCCGGGATAAACTGTTTTGACATGAAAATGTAAATGACCATTTGAAATTGACAATTCGTTGTCGATTACTCTAAAAGACAAGTTGATGGCTACAACAATTTCTTTTCTTTTCACGAACAAGATTTTGAACAAATTCTGCTTCAAAGGAATCTGAATCAATACGTTTACAAATTAATGTTTGTGAAGATTTAATTAAGTGTCAAAGGACCATTAAATCCGCAATCATTTTTCTTCGTGAATAATTAAGATTCCACAGTGTTCAGTGAAAGTGTGCAATTTTTCTGAATCTTGGAATCATCTTTTGAAAATTTTAATTATAGAAAGTGCTCATATAGATAATAATTCATTTGGTCGATTTATTGGATGATAATATCATGTTCCATGCATTCCAAATCTATTAAACAAATGACCAAAACACGCAGATTTCCCTATCAGATGTATGACAAATTGCGCTCTTGACTCCAAAGATTTAAAACTAATTTCTAAATGGGCCAAGAATTTCAACAAATGCATTGTAGAAAAAAAATCAAAAATACCAATATGAATATTTCTCATGTACCTAACAATATTTCATTTTATTTGTGTTTTTATTTATGGATTAGATTATCTGTATAAAAATTTTGTTTCATACAATCAAAAAGTAATAAGCATCTGATACTTTTAAACAATGCATGTTTAATTTTACAGGTAATGAGTGGGGATATGTGCCTGGAATTGGTAAGTAAGTGAATACTGATTAAACGAGAATTAAAATTATTGATTTAACATTTTTTACAGTTTTTACAGTTTATTATTTTTAAATTCATTCTACCACTTGATTTGTCTAGAAAAGACTATAAATAGATTATTTGTTTTACTTTCAAACAAGTGACAGGATGAATATAAAAAATGAAAATCGTCATTCATGATGGTGGGAAAATATTTTCTTTAACATTAAACATTTAATATTGGTCCTGACATGATTATATGGGGCTTGCCAAAAATGAGAAAATAATAACTCCTTCAAGTTCATTTCTGGTCAAATTTGAAGCTTGATTTTAGACTGAAAATTTTAAATGGATATTTTAGCCCACAGAACATTGTCATTTCAACGTATTGAAGCTTTTACTTGAATGACTGTCAAGATAATGAGATGTTGAACCACTTTTGTGTATATGTAGGTAATTAACATTGATAAGATCATGCTTAACAGTCTACCTAATTACAAAATTGAGATATGACAATAAGGGAACCTTAAATATATCAGAGATGAGGGCAGATACCTAGCAGGACTTAACAGCCCTTGTAAACTAGTTAAATATTATAAAACATATGGTCATCTGTAAAAAGAGATGGTACCCAAGTGTTCGAATGAGATCATTAAATAAGTCAAGTATAAACGAAACTTTTTTAGTTGGCAGCTAAATTTTGAGCATCTCGAATGGCTTACATTATATACTAATTCATAATCTATATATGATTGGAATGTTAATGGGAGAAACACAAGTTAAACATAGCATTACATGTCAATAGCATGATTTCATTGATTAGTATGGTTCTATAAGGCTACTGGAAGTGCACATGATTAAAAAAGAATACTTGGCCCTCCTAGGTACCTACCCCAGCTTCGGAATGTTCCAGGGGTTTGTGGGTTTTTTTTCATTGTGCATGGATTTGTATTGTTTTAAGCTTTTTAAAGAACATTTATTAGTTGTTCTCTTTACGTTTTATACACAGTATCGCTTACGTAAATCATCAGGAAAATGGGGATACTTTTCTCCTTTTAAATTAGTTAAATGAGATTGCTGTTATGAGCAATTAAGCATATAGAACAAAATTTATTGAACCCTACTAATATGCCGAACATTTATGTGTCGTAACTTCATAGAGCGGAAGAAATTTAAACATACCTTTTTATTAAAAGAATCTGTATTTTGTTCTTGATAAAGGACCCTCCACCTGGGTCAAGGACTACCCTCAATGTGGTGGAAGCAGCCAGTCTCCAATCTCCGTGGATACATCGCGAGTTGTCCTTGACACAAACCTAACGGCCTTCAAATTCACCGGCTATAACCAAATTAACAAAGTCAAGATGAGCATGAAAAACAATGGACATACAGGTAAATAAATGTAAGATGCTATGTATAAATGACAATAGGCATACAGGTAATAATTTGGGTGGTACATGATTAATTATATAAGTTTTCAAAAATCTTTAAAGAAGTTTTTGAAATAAAGGTTAGTGTGCAATTTTCATATTAGTGGAGAGAAAGAGCAAACAAAAAAGGTGAGAAACAAAAATAAATCAATTCCTTAAAACGGCCTTAAATGCTACTCAAGATTACATGTTTTATTTCTCCTATCTGATGGAATTTATTGAGATAACGAACAGATTTAAAGCTAAAAAATCCATTAGAAATACAAATCGAGTGTAGAGCAAACACGAACCTCTAAAACATTAAAAGTTAGATTAGATGAGGGAGAGAGTATCCAGATTCCCAGTCGACCGGTCACATCCACCGTGTGCTCCTTGCCAGGATCAGGAAATAACAGAAAAAACCGTCAACAATGCAATGTGTAAATAATGGCCTAACAATCAGTATGAAAAACGCCAGTCAGCATTTGACTTAATAATAAGTTGTATTTGCTGAAAAGGTCATTGTATCGACTATACATGTAGAACTTACAAAATGACTTTAAACGAGATGGCTGATATTTTTGTTTCATCAGCTTGTTTGCCAATTATTTACATGTGCCTCGTTTGAGAAATACACAGAGCATGCTCTTACGTATTGAATCAAGTCAGAGAAAAACCCTCGGATGCAGTTGATGAAGATATATTTACATCCGCTGAATATTTTCTCCTTTATTTCTTAAGAAAACCCATTGCGTTAATCACTGCATGAACTACAGTCGGCATGTCGCCTGTACAGATTTCTTGATCAGTGGCTGTTCCATCAATGAAACGTATAAAGACGTTTGCATCATTAATACAATAATAAATCTGTTTAATACTACTTTAAATGATTATTAAATAGATATAGATATAAACAATAAAATATCTTTCTTTGTTATTACTGGAATTAACAGTCGCAGCTATTGCAGAAAAAAAATTACATAATCCGCTTACGCGGGTTATGTATTTTTTCTGCAACAGCTGCTTCCGTTAATTTCAGTAATAACAAACAAAGAAAGCATTTTATTGTTTAAACATTGCAAAATTAAGGGAAGTTGAAAACTGAAATTCATTGCGTTTATCATAAAACTTTATTGTCAGATTTACATCGACGTCTTTTTTCTAGTTAAATACACAAATATTAAACGCCCATTCTCAGCAATAAGGTGCAATTAATGTCGTTCCCTTGTTACTCGATATTTAATAATATAAGAATGTTTTTCAGCACGAGCAAGTAAACATAGGTTATGGTCCGTAAACATCCACAAAAATGAGCAAAATCGGGAAAAGTCTTCCGAGATAAACACGTCTCTGAATTTATGAAAACAATACATACGTTACTGTCGCCAAATCCGTATTTCAAAAATAAAACATAATTGAAAAACTCAAATCTAATAAACGTGTATTTTTATGCACAGAAATTTACTGCACACCATATGAGAGTAAAAAATAATTATAAAAGTAAAACATAAATCACATGTAAATGGCAAATATTTTGCAGCATGTCGCGCCCAGTTGTTTGATACCTACGTAACGCCATCATATAACTGAGCTTGTAAATTATGTTTATGCAAATATATTTTCATTTTCAAGAAAATCAAACAGTAGACACCTTGTACTATCTTGTAAAATTTATCTGATATTTACTTTCCTTGAAATATTTTCAAACGACTTATATGCATTATAAAACTTCGTCGGTTGTATTTTCGCAAATACATACGTTATACATCTTTCTTAAAGTATATAAATGTGTTAGGCCCTATTAATGGTGCTTATATGATTAGGAAATGGTTCATTTTTTTTATTGCATACACATTTTTAAATCATTCTCAACATTTGAAAAATGTACACTGTATTAACTTACCGGAATTTACAAACGTTACCAATACTTACGTTACTGAAAGAATATTACGCATATTCTTGTATCACGTGTTTTCCACATGATGTACCTCATTACTTGATGTTTAAAGTAAGAAAATCATGGTTGTAAATACAGATATGCAATAAATATCAATGTAGTACATGCATATCAGTAAATCTTAAAGAGCTTCGAAATTTTCGGATACCTACATAACATTCGGTAACGTTGGTATTAACTGAGCCTTAATTTTTCATTTCTTTTTTTTAACTAAAAAAATTAAGGTTTTTATAATGACAGGAGTTATGTTATATATCTACCATCTTAAATTATAGTTAATCTCGTAAACTTTATTTTCTATATACCTAATACTCTTTTTAATCACTACAAAATCTTTGATCTATTCAGTACTTCTTTGTTTATAAATTTCCCCTAGTTTATTTCAATAGATGACCAAATTTGTTGATAACGGTACAAACACTATTTGATAGTTCTATACCTTAAGAAATAAACACAAAAATTGCAAGATTTTAAACTTTAACCCAACAAATCATATTAAAACTTTTGTCATAGCTAGTAACGTATGTAACGATTTTACGTTACGACAATAACGTAATATTTTATCATTTGTTTTCATATTCTGATTCAGTTATAGTCTGGATTTTCAAAATAGTATGTAAACTTATCCATATGAAGTATTCAAACAGTGTAATCTAATTACGGTTGATAGTTACCAAATTACCTTATTAGATAATACTTACGTTACTTTAACACAATTCTGATATATTATTCTTTAAAAATATTATAATTATGATTGTTTTTAAATTTATTGATTTTTCCATCGTCCACTTATTTCAATTTGATACAGGTCATGTTTTTCATGAAGGCAATTAGAAGTAATAAGTAACGTAACATGCTACATTATTCAGTGATTATTAAAAGTGTTCTTCAGTTGTTCTAAAAAAGACGTTTATTGACTCTTATGCCTTAAAAAGTACAGATTATTTGCCCTTGCATCGAATAAAAATTATATTCCTGCATATAAATGTTTTCTAAAGTAGTCAAAATGCCTTAATCATTGTATTTCCTAAATCAATATACACAGTAACGTATATATTGGGGTGATTTAAAAGAAAAAAATACACTGTATTTCAATTTGTCATAATTTTGTCATCAACACAATGGTGTTGTGGATATTTTACCATGCAACTCAGAATTCATTGCGAAAACTTTGCAGGAAAAAAATTGAGCGTATACTCAAGTTGAATTTTACGTCTCTGATATACCGTAATTGCACATTATTACTGAGAATGGGCGTAAAAAGATGTGTAAAACTCTGCGGTATCGTATTTCAAGCTCATCGTGATATATATTATTGTAATAATGATGAGAATAACTATGGGTAACTGACAATATGTCGTCGATATATCTGAATATCATATTGAGGTCAAAGAAGGTGTTTTCGACTTTTCACAAATAAGATTTTGAACAAAGTATGCTTGAAATGAACGCAATAGGTATGTTACCATAGCCGTTTTATGGCTGATATTTTTCATACCATTTGTTAGGTCATTGTTTTTAAACTTAATATGTCTACCTAATATTCTGACTACTGATAAATACCTTGGTATGACAATACAATACAATGGTTAGCTTGCTCCCCAAGGCACATGATCCTACAGGCGCTGTGTTTTATGCTCTTTTAAATGATTTATATTGATTGTAGTTTTTTAATTAAACAGATTGTTTTTCTTCAAATATTCATTTCAAGTTAACATATTTATAAAATTGAAATCCAACATTAAGCGATTATTTGGAATATTTAGGAAATAATAGCATTTGAAAATAATTTATTTTAATTATCATCTACTTCTCTTATGTGTTGTTTTCTGACTGCAGTACAGATAGACCTGATGGGCAACACAATGACGATATCAGGAGGGGGTGTTAGGGACACCTATCGGGCAAAACAGTTTCACTTCCACTGGGGCTCGGAAGACAAGCGAGGATCTGAACACGATATCAACGACCGCCATTTTCCCATGGAGGTACACTCTGTTTACACATAACGAGTGATTACTTTTAAATAAAGCATTAAAAAAAATCAACAATCATTTAATCATATAGTTTGCTACTTAGTATAAAGTTTTAATTTTCTTTTCAAAGATGCACGTTGTGCACTACAATACAAAGTTCAACACTTTCGATGACGCAATGAATAAAACGAATGGACTGCACGTGCTGGCGTTTTTATTCGAGGTAATAAGTAAAACATGTGATATATTCTTTTGTGCAAATGTAAGATTAATACTATTATTTCGCAGGATTTACATGATTATAAATGACTTGGTTCTTACTATATTGATTTTTAGGTTGGGAAAGTTAATCACCATTTTGATGAGATCATTCATCATTTTTACCAAATTGCACATAAAGGTATTTTTCCTTTCCTCTGATTCTTTTATTCTTAGTTTTCAAATACATTCTCTGTTCTTTAAATGAAATATATTACTTCACTGTATGTTAATGCAGATGATCACGTGAACCTCACGACGTTTCCATTGGCTGGACTATTTTCGGAAGACCTCCAGGTTTACTATCGTTACCATGGTAGCCTTACCACTCCCCCATGCTCTGAAAGTGTCATATGGACCATCTTTAAAGACACCATCAAAATATCCGAGGATCAGGTTTGTATAAAAAAATTGAAAATAATAGAACTTCCTCAAATTCCGTTTTGACATTCTACTGTTGAGGTGAGTACGGTTTCTTTCTATTATTTTGTTGTGCATCAATAAAAAACAACGAACCCCGCATTATTCACTTTCTTTAAATCATGTTCTAATTCACACTACCCGAGATATTGAATTGCGATAGACTTAATGGAGGAAACAAACCAGACCTAGTCTAATGTTATCATATATTGGTTTTTCAGCTTATGAAATTCCGTCATAATGTCCACCGGAACTACGTCACTGAGGAAGATCGAGATATATCTAACGACTTCCGGCCGACACAACCTCTGAATCATCGCTATGTTTATGCTAGTCATCCTAGCGCAGTTTCTCTCTCTTCAACGCTAGACAGTGTTTGGTTTAATATATGTTCACTTAGCGCTATTTACATGTTAACAACACTCTAATTGTAATGAATCGTTATCATTTTTATGCGCCCGAATCGATAGAGTCGGGGCGTATATTGTTTTTGTACTTTCTGTTTGTCTCTTTATCTGTCTGTCTGTTGTTAACTTTAACCTTCGCCATAACTTTTGAACCATGAGAGATAGAGACTTCATATTTGAGATGCATACTCCACTTATTGAATTCTTGCTATTGATCCCAAGGTCAATGACCTTTTGACCTCGACTGTAACCTATATGCTAAAAATAGTTTTTTTTCTCAAACTTTCGCCATAACGTTTGCACCAATTGAGAAAGAGACTTCAAATTTGGTATTTATACTCTATTTATTGAATTTTTGCTAATGACACGAAGATCAATGACCTTGTGACCTTGACTGTGACCTTTATGCTAAAAATAGCTTTATCAAACTTTTGCCATAACGTTTGAACCATATGAAAAAGAGATTTTATATTTGATATGCATGCTCCACTTTTTAATTCTTGTTAATGACACCAAAGCCAATGACCTTGTGACCTTGACTGTAACCTATATGCTAAAAATAGCTTTTTCGAACTTTCTCTATAACTTTTGAACCATTTGAGATAGAGACTTCATATTTGGTATGCATACTCAACTAATTTAATGCTTTCAAATGCCCTTGTGACCTTGACTGTGACCTATATGCTAAAAATAGCTTTTTCGAACTTTCGCTATAACGTTTGAACCATTTGAGATAGAGACTTCATATTTGGTATGCATACTCAACTAATTTGATGCCTTCAAATGACCTTGTGACCTTGACTGTGACCCATATGGCTTACAATAGCTTTTTTGAACTTTGTTGCCAGCGGACGCGTAGTGTTGCACAAACACGTATTGTTTATTTTATTACTTGATATTCTATAAAATATAGACTTTCGATTGTAAATTAATTTTAACTTGTTGCTAGATTTTGTTTGTTTTTTTTTCTTTTGTGCTTGATCAATTAAAATATGCCTTGGTAAATATGACTAGTTTATATACAAATTATAAAAATTGTTGTGTCTGATACGTTTACTAACTTATCATGTCCTAACAATGAGGCGTTATATATTTAATGGATATATGTAGGTATCGCCAAATGAGCAAGAGCCACCTTGGGCCTTATTGGGCCCTGACAATTTATGAAAAATCAAAACCGCTCAGTTAAGGTTGCAAATGCAGTTTTTAAAGTGTATATGACTTGGAGTGCTGGTGACCACGTATTTATTAATCATGACGTAATTTTCCCTCTTGTTGATGCATTATGACGTCATAATTTGCGTCAATCATCCTCATATCCTCTAAATGCCTTTGGAAATGGCCAAAAATATAGATATTTATTCAATATTTTATATAGAGCACAAATTCTGATCCAAAATACTAGTATGCAAATACATAATGAAATATCTGTTTCTGAAGATCAAAAAACATGTTTTATTTTTCGGATTGGAGACTGTGCTCATATTTTAATTCTTTGCTGAAGGTAGTCAAATACGTAAGTTTTCTGCAAATTTCAAGAACATTTCAATTTCTCAGAGCCTGTTTTCAAATGTCTGGATGCTCAAAAAGAAATTATATTATATGAAATAAAAGTATCAAGTGCCTACTCTATTTTGATTTATGTAATAGGAAAGAGGATTGTAGTTAATTAATTGATTACAGGCCCATTTTATACATAAAGAGAACCTATCTCTTTATACATGTATCACGATATATATAATATTTAAAAATAAAAATATGAAATACGAGTATAAGTTACCAATGGATAACTTTCACGTTATAATCATATTTTTAACAGCTCTGGTCGTTTATTTATTTGGTATATGTTTTTTAAACACAGATGTATTGCTTATAATTATTTTAGATCGATAACTGCTCGTTAACACCACCCTAATATCATTAATTCATGGTATCTGAGTATCCTAATGACAAAAATATGTACTTATTGTGCCAACAAATTAATCAATAAATGTAGAGTAGTTTCAATATGTGTATTTGATTTGTAATTTAGTGGAAAGCAATAACAAATACTCATACACAGTTTCTTAAGCAAATAAGTATGGGAGTAACTTTATAATAGAAATACTTCTGTACCTAATCTGAATTATGAAATGATTTTTTTTCCTTTATTTCTTATGAAGACCATTGTCATTCATCAGTGCTTAAACGACACTAATGGCTGTTCCATCAGTTGTGCATACAATGGTATAATTATTCTAATATAATACACAGTTTAACATATTTAATTTTACTTTTAAGGTTTTGTCCATAAAGATGTAAACACTAAAATGTCTTTTTTGGTTGTTAGCACTGGAATTAACGCCGCAGCTATTTCATTATTTTACTATTTTATTATTTTAGATCGATAACTGCTCGTCAACACCACCCTTTTCATTAATCCATGGTATCTGAGTATCCTAATGACAAAATATTGATGAATTTAATCTCGTACCAACCCGCATTTATAGCCTGATAGATGTTTTAAAATGATACCTTATTACTTATATTTACATTTGTGGCTTATTCATAAGGATATGGAGATAACAAACAGTATTCAATCTCAAAGTCCATTAAACAATATACAAAATAAGAGCAGAGCAAACACGGACCTCCGAAACATCAGAGGTGGGACCAGGTGCCATGGAGGAGTGAGCATCCCCTGCCGACCGGTCACACTTTACATTTGCCTTATTGTGACTTTTAACGTGTGAAATGCACTATATTTCAAACCCAACGGCAAGTATGTAAATCACAAAACGCGCTTCGACCCTTTATGACGTCACTGAGAAATTACGTCAAACGTACGGACATCTATGACCTCTTGACCCCGTACCTGTATTTATACAGTTATAGATACGCATTGCATTCAGTAGTGTTATGTAAAGGAAATCATTTGCAAATGTAAATATATGTGAATAAAGTGAATGGAAAAAATTGCATTCAGAACAGCATAACACGGAAAAGGGATTAAAAGATTGTGACGATTTATTCTGACGTCACAAACGTTGAACGCCGGAGAAATGCTACGTCATATGCAAAATACAAATATCACACTACTTTGAACACAAGCTTTTTCCCTTCCATTAACTGGAACTTACCTGAACAGTTATACAGGGATTTGAATTATAAATCACATTTGCAATGAAAGGATGGAAGTATACAATGTAAATATACTGTGAAATCAAAAAAAAAGCATGGGGGTTTAATTTTCGTCGTTTTCGAGGTATGAAGAGACACACGAATTCATATCCACCATGAAATGTAAAATATTACATACATCACTTCTCAACAATTCTTCATTCACGAAATCAAATCCCCACGAACCAAAGGTTCTTCCTCAAACCATGAAAAATGACTTCAAAAATATGTGTTTTCAAAGTGAGCAATTTATCATTATTTTTTTTAAAATATAGTCTCATAACTGCAACTGTGTGTTCAAACTAATTCTTTTAACGTTCTAACGTTTGTAAAAAATAATGATTCGTTGCTTTAAAAAAAATTAATTTGATAAAAATGGTATTCCAGGAAGGTATGTAATAGATAACCTATATGCAAGAATTAATATTAAAATTAGGATTTTTGATAATAAATCTACACATTAAAACGTTATTTTTTGATGTTTAACAGAACAGATAGTCTTCATCCTGCATTGTCATGCCTTTATCATAAAAAAAATACTGTGGATGGCACTGTAGGTCTCTAGTCGGCAATCTTAATTTTTTCAGACCAGCAAGCTACAGAGCTGCAGCTATAGAACATGTACATTATGATAGACGTGTATCATTTAATGAGATCTGTTTATATGATGGTTTGATGGGACGTGCTCCTAAATACCAAACCAGATACTATTAGCATGATTGAAGTAATCATAAACGTAAATGATTGGTAGGCATTAGTTCATAAATTCTTGATGAGATTCACTAAATTTATTATACTATCATGAATCATATCCATGATAATCTTTACACCAGAGGATTTGTTATACATAGGAAAGAGTTGTCGACATAAAACAATTGAACAGTGATGCAGCGGGTGACCTCCTACATCATATTTATGTGCGTGGTGTTTGGACAGTCAATTAGCAAGGGGGACAAAACGGTCCCAAAATTACTTGAACAAATTTTGACTCTGTGCGGAACGGGACATTTTTGTTACCTGAATAAAACCCTGTTTCCCTGGGAAGTCCAGGATTCAGCACAATACCCGCGTTGTCCGCCATGTTTTTGCGATCAGGAGTGTTACGTCAGAGGTGACTGCTGTCCTGATGTGTTCTTCTCCCCTCCAGTATCGGTCTGTAAGAACGTCACAATCGTTAATACGTCATCAAACTACCCTGAAAGAAAACAAAGAACATCATATTTAATGATTGACTCTTGTCCACACAACGCAGAGAGTAATAATCTCAAAAGATGCGAAAACATCACCAATGACGTCGATAAACTAAAATACCCACCAGTTACAAGTTACGATACTTCTCGAACATATTACAACCGGTTCTGTGCAATTTGCAACAATGATTTCAATTTTATTACCTGGCCTATCGATATAGTCTGTGACCAATTTCTGGATATCAATTTTATTTCAACCTTTGATGACGTCATCAAAAATGCCATCGCGCGTGAATGTGTGTTACAGTCATACCCCCCAAATGAAAACATTTCTTACAACTGTTACAAAGAAAACGAGCAATATTTTAATTCTTGTAATAAAACAGGGACGTGGAAACATTATATACAGAGTGTTGAATATGGATGTGAAGCTGATTACTTTAATAATAACACATTGTTCAAAAATATGTTCTGTAAAATGTGTAATCCAACATTCACTACTATCAGCACAATATCTCGGTGCAACATTAGTGGACTGTGGGATACTTTTAACCGTACAGTAAATAACGCATGTTTATATTACCGAGATAACTCTGGAACATTGCCATATAAGAACTTATTTTGCTATTTGTGTAACCGACCAGAGTCATCGAAATTTCCATTTTTCGATGTAAGCTTGGATATTAATACTGAGCTTTTATTTCGCAACGGGTCGTCCATTCCTATATTTTACTTTGATATTGATGTGCAGGAATTTTCATCAGAATATTTCCTTTTCATCAAACAAAATGTTTTTGAACAGTTTGGAGATATAAAAATGATAAATCAATCCCGTGATCTAGTTCTGGTAAATCACAATTATAGTGATTTAACAAATCTTGTACATAAGTCGTTTTCAATGTATTTTATATCGAAAACGTGTGGGGAATACCAAATTCCAACAAAGTTCATTGAACGTTCTACATGCTCATGTGATGCATCATGCATGTTCCTTAATGTAAGCACTAAATTTTGTTGTAATGATCTGTTCCTGGTGTACCCTAGAACCTGCTTAAAAGAAAAAATATTTTCGACATCGGAATCAAATAAAACATTTAACGAAAGGTTAGTGACTAATGGGTGTTATGGTCTAGATAGTTATCCGGAATTTATAGGTGAAAAGTGTAGGAAACCGCCGGGGGACGCATTTTCTATTCACCCAGTCACCGATTTATCAACAGGCATTCCATATTTAAATATGTACTGTTTACTGTGTAGTGTTTCTCGGAAAGAAAAAAATTACAAACCCTGGACGATAAAATCACACTGTTTTTCATATATTGAACACACAAACTTCTTGCTTTATAGCAATTTCTTCAAATCTTTACGGGACGCTGATTGCAATTTGACGCTTTATCCCGCCACGAACAGTCGAAAATGTGACGAGATCACGCCTCATATTATAGAGAAATGCAACAGTTCAGGACATTGGCCAATTGCAGATGTAGGTGTAAGCTGGGCATGTGAAAATCTTCCATACACTAGCAAATATAGCTGGAAAGCGCCTAATCAGTTTGGAGGGGGTTTATATAAAAACGTTTATTGTGCTATGTGCAACCCATATAGAGCTCTAGAAATAACGATTGATAAGTGTCCAGGTAATTCTAATGATGTAGATCATTGTGATTTTTTCCCAAAAGTTTACTTCTATGCCCCCTACAAGAATCTCCATTGTGGAATCTGCAACGGCATGGGGATGGCTGTGATGAAAGGGGAACATGGTGGAATTGAAGAAGAAGAAGAGAAGTTGGTATCAAATTCCCTTGTTTGGTATCCTTTGCTGCGCAGTTTGTTTTCCGTCAGTGATGATTATGAGGATATGGAATTCAATCCGCTGATGAATCCGATCTGTTCAAGTGACCAAATCTACGACCCATTCCATGTAAGTGATTTCATTATTAGTTCTGTTCAATTGATCATATCTACGACCCATTCCATGTAAGTTATTTCGATATCAGATCTTTAATAATAAACAAATTTAGGAACGATTCGATGTCAGTTATTTCATTATCGGATGTGATAAAAAGATCAAATCTACGAATCATTCCATAGGAGTATTTCATCATCAGATTTGTTCAAAAGACGAAATCTACAACCAATATTCAATATACGCTTTTTCAATTTCTGATCTGTTCAAATGACTAAATCTACGACCCATTCTATGTAAGTTATTTCAATTTCTGATCTGTGCAAATGACTAAATTTTCGACCCATTCATTAAAGTTATTTCATGATCGGATCTGTTTACATGATCAAATCTACGACCCATTCCATGTGAGTATTTCATTATTGGATCTGTTCGACCAATTCCAGATAAGTTAATTGGTTCAGAATCGAATTCTTTCCGTTAAAAATGTTACACATATACAATATTCAATTACAATTGGGCAATTTAAATCTCATTTTATTTATTTTCTTCGAATTTTTATGGGTAAAATCCAACATCATCAAGATAGGAAAAAACAAAACTAAACCCACATTTTTTTTTCAGGAAATCTGCAGGAATATAACATGTTTTCCCGGAAAATATTTATCTCATGGAGAAAAATGCATCCCGCTATTTTCAGTTACCAAAAATCTTCGATATAATTTGGATATAGAATTTAAGGGAATTTCTAAGTACAAGATATCAGAGGAAAATATTCAAGATTTAATCACAGACTTGATACCATTCAGAATTAAGAAAACCGTAAAACTAACGCAAAATATTTATTTCAATATCTTCCGAATGGAGTATGTTGAAAGTGACGGAAAATTCCATGGATGGATGCACTCTACAATTTTCATCAATGAATCTGTTCATAGACTGAATACGGAAAGATCACTCTTACGGTTTACTGAAACCAATTTTGAACATATCTTCAATGATACCTTTATTTTGTTTGATTTGAAGAACAAATATTTATCAATAGGGAAGAAAAACAGCAACATAACAGAACTAAGTGCGGAGAAAGATAGATATTCAAATTCAAATTATGGTTTATCATGGTATCATATATTTCAATATCGTGCGGTGCATATCACTAATGCGTTAATGTGCAAACAAGTGGAATTCAAATTTGAGGAATATGACTTTGATAGCATTCAAAACGTGGTGTTTTTAAAGAGCTCCGATATTTCTCTACCTGCTGTTAATGCCGATATATCGGAGAATGGGACTCTCAGAGTATGTCTTGATGACCTGATGGCTAAATACAAAACGGGAAACAATTTGAGTAGAACTTTCAGTAAACTTTCTGCTGCATTTTCTATCTTATCGTGTGTTTGTCTCTTAATTACGTTTCTTACCTACTGCTTCTTCCGAGAACTAAGATCACTTCCAGGAAAGACAATAATGGTTCTTGTGTCTACCATCTTGATCATCAATATTGTATCTCTGGCTAGCTATGGGAAAGACAAAAACAGCACAAAATGTACCGTCGTTGGTATTCTTCTTCACTATCTCTGTCTCTCGTCTTTTACGAGTATGAGCACCTGTTGCTACCATATGTATCGGGTTTTTCAGTCCAGAGTGCCAGTGCTGATGAGCAATAAGAACCTGATTATAAAGTATTGTATTTACATATTTCTTTTACCACTTTGTATTGTTTTGGGGAATATGATTGTTATGCTTTCGAGTCGGGGGAATGTTGGTTATGGAAAGAAACTTTGTTTCGTAGATGGAATGATGTCCTTAATAGTTACTTTTCTTGTTCCGGTTGGTTTAGTCTGCATCCTTAACATATTTTTCTTTACGCAGACGATACGTGCAATTAAACGTTCTCCAACAGTTTCTAACAATAAACCCGAAAGGAACGACTTTTTGATATGTGTACGCTTATTTCCTATAACAGGTGTCTTCTGGCTTTTGCAGATTTTGGACGGTATTTTACCACCAAGTTATTTCACGTACGTTATATCCGTCTTAAACACATCACAGGGCGTGTTTATTTTCCTGGGTTTTGTCTGCAATAAAAGGACAATACTTATGTACAGAAATGTGTTGAAGGAGAGGACAGGAAGTACTAAATCTACAGATCTCGGAAGTGCGTGTGTAACACCCAAAATGTTGATAAGTGAAAACAGTTTCTAGTTTTGGACATCAAATTGTACAAACGCTGACACACACAGTTATGTTATACAGTGTATGTTGTATTTATTAATTCTTATAATGTACTCAATGATAAATATTATTTACTGACAAGGTCATTTTATCGACAGTGGAACTTACGAAATTATAACTTTAAACGAGACTGCTGATATTCTCGTTTCATGAACTTGTTTTTCAATAATTTAATCGTATAGTTGATTAACAGTTAATTTGTCAGAAACGGTCATATCTCGGCAACAGAATAGGTGGATAATAACATCCTTTCCAAAAATAAGCATGGCAACCATTAAAACACAAATCTTCTGTCTCAGGAGAGACCTTTATTCAAGGTGGATAGAGAATGGGTGCATCCTTTTTATCATATCTAATATGTTTAAAATCTAAAGTAAACGATATCTTAGGTATTTGATACTTATATCATTGTTCAAATATTCAACTATTTTTCAAAGTGCTAATTGGAGGTCTCTGATAGCAAATTGCTTAATTAAAAATACATATCTTTTCAAACTTGCTTTCACTGGGCAAGATGTCAAGTATCATTTTTAACCATCAGCCTTCCTTCACTTAAACGATTAATCCAATCATTAATTGAATTTATAGGAACTCATTTACCTCAATAAACTTTGTACAAATTATTATATGATACTGTAGAGGGATTTCTAAGATATTACAATAAATTATACAGTCGTTTGTTGAACGAGTTCGACTGATACAACCATTTTTCGTCTCAAGTGACCTAAATAGTGACGTCATTTTCACATTGTGACGTCAAAAACAAGGAGAGAAACTTTATTCAGCATATGCTATTTATAGACCTTGTGTATGGCTATGTGTGTACCGAATTTCATTCTAATCTGAATAGTGGTTTTGAAGATATAGAGATAGTTTGCGAACTTTTTAATCACCCCTCGTAATTGTTTTAGAAATGCTCATACGTAGTACAGGCCCTTACGTTTCGAATCAATGAGCTATATAGGTGATGAAGGTAAATTGCTGTTTAAGTAAGGCAAATTGATCATTGAAAATTTAAAGTCCTCAAGTGTTTTATAGCCCTTGCTACATTTTTTTTCAAATAAAATATCCAAACTTGACACAAAAGTAATGGCACAGTGTCCATATCATTTGTATTTCGTGTTATATTATAAAATAACATATATACCGAAATATGCACATATATGAATCTAATTAACATCGAAACTTCGGTCTAATATTGTGAAATCAAATCAGTTTTATAGATGTTTAAAAGATAAAGCAGAGGGGTGTCGCCGCATCACATCTAAACGTCACATTTTAAAGAATATTATTTTTAGGATGAGAAGTACAAAAACATAAAAGATCATTTTAAGCGTGTCTTATTGTCCAAAAATTTTAAAAGACAAAATAAACTTATATGTGTTTCTAATGATGAGTTAAAAAAAAATGTGTTTGACTTTGATGCATTGAACAAAGGTAGTGTTAAAAAGGGGACGCCGTAGCGAGCTGTTATGCATTTTGCAATCTGACTTCAAAAGTAGGATATTACCAGTATAGACGATTACACTGATTGATAAGCCTAGAAATGATAAAAAAGAAAAGAAAAGTCTTCTTTATAGATGATTTCAGCGATTTAAGGCAGTGTGATAGGTCGTTGAATTATTATTACAAAGCAGGAAACAGGTTTAAACCCCAGTTATATTTCCATAAATACAAACAGTCGCCGATTTTTTAAGGCAAAAATAGGATGATTCGGGTAACGGTTGTTTATCAACCGTTGTCTTGCCCGATTTTACTTTTTTTCGTCAGCCAACAAATTGTGTGTCTGTCAGACCATGCAATTATTTTCTCTGTTTCGATGCCGATTCCTTCAATTGAAGCGGTCGTTAAAAAGTCTATCGAATTATCTTCGATCATCATTGCACGTGTCAAAAACCGGCCGCGGATTTTCTTCAGTACCTAATACATTTACTTTGCTACATGTACAATGTTTAAAGAACGTACTCATAGTCCTCTGCGTCCCCGCAATCAGTTGAATTGGTACAAAATAACTCTTGCGGAAGTTTGATGTTTTAGTAGTTTTTACAATTAACCATTTAAAAAATAACCTTACCCGAATCATCCTATTTTTGCTTTAAAAAATCGGGGACTGTTTGTATTTTTTTAGAAAAATGACTGAGGTTTAAACCTGTTTCCTGAACCTATCGCCTGCGCTGTAAGCTTAAATAGTCTTTCGACCAATGATCATAGTCCAACCATTGGCAGACATTTCGTTATGTCGACCGACGGTGAAAATCAAATTACCGCTTAGCGCACGATGGATGTTGGCCGACTTATTATTTATTTATTTTTTAATATCAGTGTTCTTACTAGCTATTAACAGAGAAACACCGACATCTTGCAAACGAACGTAACGCCCTAACTTCCCGTATCTCGATATTTTTCTCAGAACCAGTGTTTGCACCCATATAAAGTTAAAAATCGGAAAAAATAAGTATATGTGCAAATAGAACGGAAAGTGTTTTCATCATTTTGTAATTGAAAATTGCTTATGTTATTTTTGTAATCACTAATAATGTTTTTAAATTCGGACAAATGAAAAAAAGTTCGTCATAATACTTTAGAGGGATTTGGAAACACGTTTGTCATGCGTCAGTGATTAAACATATACAAACTACACGTATCGATCCTCATTGTAAACCGTCATCATTACACTCGATTTTGATATCATAAGGGCCCCCTGTACAGTGATTAAAATAAAAAACAAATGGTATCAAAAAATTGAAGAAAGTGTAAAGGAACTTGTTTATTTCAGGAATGACTCTAATTCTTGGCCAAATTATTCGATGATAACCTGGTTTAGGTCAGTTCACGCTTTTAAATCAGCAAAGCCAAGAATAAGTGTCATTTCTTATAATTTAATTTTAAAATAATTAAACAACTATGTGTGTAAAATTGTGTTGCTTTTTATGAGTTCAAATTTGCCGCTCAATGATACATCCCTAGTAACGGAAGTGATATGAAAGAAGGGGAGGTAATAACAGTTATAAGATAAGATAAGATTTATTAATACCAATTTGGGGCCCATCAGGGCATACAAGTAATAAGAAAAACATACAAGAAGAAATTTCAAAATTGATAGCAGCAACTAACAAAAGATAAATGGTGTTACAGCAGTTGGGGATTACAACATATATAATCAATATACTGTAAATAAAAGTTTTTTGTTTTTTTTACTAGAGTATAAACATTATTACTCTTGTGTATTTATTTGTTTCTTTGTTTAACATTGCATAATCTGCTATTTCTTATTTTAAAGTTATTGATTAAAAAATTACCCAGCCTGATAAGCAACATGTCATTTTCATTAGACATTGTTATGGGTCAGAATTACCCGAAATGCCAGCAAAGATCAATAACACAATTTAAACTTAACAATAATTTATTTACAGTAATATATAATAAGTATATGAAACATAAAGTACAAACTTAGCAAGAATCTAAAAATACATACATCAGAGTGTCCGTTGCTGCACACAATGTCCCAGTGAAAATATATCCCAGTTATATCTCAATAGTGCTTATACGACAAAGTTATTAGTCTCTATGCATCGAATTGACAGGGTATTTATACAGTATTATAAATCTAGAATATTCTAGAAATTGTTAA